ATCCAAGCCTTGAAGAAAGGAAAAGCAGCAGGACCGGACGGGCTTCCTCCCACTCTTTTCAAGAAGGCGGGTGATGACCTCGTAGACTCCATTACTGATCTAACATATGGCCGCACGAGCGCATTTCATCATATTAGAGCGAGTTACTGATTATTCCTATTTTTAAGAAGTGATCTCGCAATGACTGCGCAAACCACCGTGGAATAAATTTGATCCCAATTACTATCCTCCATCATACTTCGACTTCTGACGCCGTTTGGGGAGACAAATATCCGCGAACAGCAAGCAGGATTTCGACCAGGTCGCGGTTGTATCGATCAAATCTTCACCCTGCATCAAGTCCTCGAACTACGCCATAAGCACCGTCGACCAACAGTTGTCGTGTTCCCTGACCTTTGACTCAGTTGACCACGAGTTCCTTATGGGTTACTTCGTTACTTCACAAAGGAATGCCGCAGAAGTATGTGAACATACTGAGTTCGCTCTACTCATATACTTCTGGTAGCGTAAGNCTTCACCCTGCATCAAGTCCTCGAACTACGCCATAAGCACCGTCGACCAACAGTTGTCGTGTTCCCTGACCTTTGACTCAGTTGACCACGAATTCCTTATGGGTTACTTCGTTACTTCACAAAGGAATGCCGCAGAAGTATGTGAACATACTGAGTTCGCTCTACTCGTATACTTCTGGTAGCGTAAGGGTCTACGGTGAGCTGAGTAGGCCGTTCGTAACTAGCAGCGGGTGAAGGGTGTCCTCCTTCGCCATTCCTGTTCAATTTCGTCATAGACGAAACACTGGAGAACACACTAAGTGGTCTCCAAAATTTAGGTATTGAATGAGCAGCTGGAGAAAAGCTGTGCGATTTGGAGTACGCTGACGACATCGTTTGCTTGTTCGAATGTCTGGAGGATGCACAAAGAGCACTTGACAGATGAAGGAGTTCTGTAGCTCTATTTGGCATACGCTTTGCACCTTCAAAGTGCCCAGTGATGCTGCAGGACTGGGTGTCGCCGAGTTGTTCTGAAAGTAGACGATCAGGAATTAACTGAAGTTAACTGCTTCTTGTACTTGGATAGCTGCATGACCAACTACGGTAGCGCATCGAAGATGACCACCCGCATTTCCAAGGCTGGAGCAGCGTACGCAGGACTAAGACACCTGTGGCGGCGACGTGACGTGTCACTAAAGTTGAAAAGTCGCGTATACTGCGCCACTGTACGATCAGTTCTACTTTACGGTTGAGAACTTGAATTTGCGGGTAGAAGACACCCGTCGTTTGGCAGTGTTCGACAGTCGATGCTTACGTAGTCTGGCCCAAATGGGATGGAGTGAAGGGGTTAGTAACTTGAAAGTAAGTCGCCGGGTCTTTGGGAATGCATCGAAAAGGAACTCGCTATCGCATCGAATCCAGCTCGATAGGCTCTGTTGGTTAGGACACGTTTTGCGTATGTCCGACGGTCGCCTATTGCAACGCGCCTTATTCGCAGTGGCTGTTACAGGCTGGAGAAAGCCACATGGAGGCCAGCAGATGATGGGGGGATGAGGCATGAGGAAATGTACAGAGCGGTTAGGTAGAGTAGATGTCTTTCGTCTTCCGGATTGGGGTCCAAATGACTCTGTAATCGCATGTTCGGAGACACTGAAGGTCACGGCTGCGAACCGACAGCAATAGCGATCTTGCTGTCACTTATCAGACCAGAATGCTTGAAATATTATGTATGCAGAGTTCGATTGTGTACTCTGTGTATTGACCATAGAGGTTCGCTTTCTTTTCCCGTCCCGAAAAGTAGGCCCAATCCCTGTCCTCCTTACACATTCTCACTTATCTTGTATGCATTATGAGTTTGGTGGCGATCAGTGAAGTTCGCTTCACTTTATTACGCTGTATAGCCTGGATGATGAGTGTCTCACTAACCGGGGTGTCGCTAGCATGAAAAACAGCCGGGGAATCCGGAACTGAGCTGTTGTCGCACTTCAACAGGATTTTCGCACATCTTGCGTTTAGCTTAACATTGCTGGTGCTCCATCCGTGCAATGACCAAAGCATTGAAGCCTTATTGCATATATTCCTGGTGGAGTATACAGCAAACAGCCTGCCGTACAGTTTCTCATTAAGAATCATACGACTTGTGCATGATGAGTTAAACTCAGTTTCTCCTTATGTGGTGCGTTTTGACATGGATACTTCAACCACGACGATGAAGTGTGCAGTGCGCATGTGGTTATTTGCTTAATTGCATTATTAAAGCATGTTCGATTT